AAATAAGATTTATACAAAAACATCACTTGATTGAAATACAGCTGATAATAGTTTCTCAGTGTGATCCATTGACCATAGTGTGTTTGGTAGAGCACCTTGTGTCCTGTTCATAGACCGTATACAAACACGGACATAGTCAGCCTGACGTCACCCGTTGGTTTGTGGAGTACAGGGCGGTTTGGCCGTCGCCATTTTGTTTTCTTGGAGCGAGGTACAGCTAGCGCTAGCTAGGTTAGCAAGGCGCATTGTCATTTACATTAATTGGGATGCTAATTTTTGCTTGCAAATAAAATGTGCCCAACGTAAAAAACACATCTTAACTTCAAGCCTTCATTTTAAATTGAACTGGCGAGTGTCACAGCATATCCCCTGTACTGCGCTCATGAACATGAACATCTCTTTTGTACCAGACTGTAAACATGTTTATTTCTGATGTAGAATGGAGCTTCGTGGGGATCGTCACTGCCTCAAGTTGCCATTTGAGGAAGTGCAGATTGCCACTTCCTTTGGCTTCATTTTTCAGAACTGGAAGTTGCTGCTTGTTTCTGTATTGTATGAGCAGTTTTACTACTGTATGGTTCTCTAGCTGTTATCTGCGCCATGGTGTGACTGGTGGTAACTGAAGCAGTGGCTCACTTGGGTAGGGCAACATTGACCAGTCCAGAGGAGAGCATCTCCATAGACTTCCCCCAGAACTTGTTCTTCCATCTCTGATCTGAGACAGACAAACAAACGGAGCATTAGGTTCAAGTCCTCACACACAGTACAGGTGGATCCAGCACTCGTCTCTAAGCACGCAGCTCCTACCTTGCCAGAAAGTGAAGTTTTCGGACTCGGCGTGGCAGGCAGAGACGGGCGGGTGATGGCTGACCTGAAAGCAAAGCACATAATGCAGCATTACAGTACGTTTCCAAACTCCGATATGGAGGTTTCAGCTAAATACATCTCTGCTGGTCACCTGCTCGCTGATGTAGTGGAAGGCTCGGTCTTCTCTGTGACTCTCGTACGTTTCTCCCAAAATCGGGTTGAAGGGCTTGTAGCGATTCCTCCAGGACGCCCAGGCATACCCAGAGATGGAGAATGCTGCCACGTATACCTGGGAACATGCAGGTTCTTTAAATTAATCAAAGGACTTGCGACTGACCTCAACTGAATCTCAGCAAACTAAACTCACCATTCTCTCATACGGATCATCCGTGCGGTTGGCGATGTCCAGCAGCTCCGAGTACTCCAGCTCTTCGCTGAGTCTCTGCAGCAGCGACAGCGGCTCGTTGAGATCCACCGGCATGGAGATTCTGGACAGGTCCTTGCCGATGTTGTTGTACAGGATGCTCATGATGCCGATGTGGCTGTTGTCTGTTCCCGAGGCGGGGAGGACAGTGCGACGACCTGGAACACAGAGACACACATCAATGCAGCTGAAGGACAGCCAGACATCCCAGAGGGACAACAAGGCAGAAAAAGTAGTCCCCAATCTGTTAAATGTGCATCGTGCCACTACTCTAACCTTTTGACCTGATGAATGTAGTTAATGTAAATGTTACCTTGTATTTATATTTTCTGTATTTACCGTGTTAAAAATCAACAATAAAAATAAATAAATAAATAAATAAATGGAGAATGAACACAATCTCATTTAGTCTTAAATCTGGCACAAACTACAACCAACCCTGGTCAGAGCACCGAGGTCCGTCGGTCTCTTCTTAGTGACATTATTAATTACATTTGCATTATTCCATCGCTCCTGAAGGAAAACAACGAGTCTAACGCAGCCATCAGTCACTTCTCAGGAAGTTCCATCAAACGATGAATATGAATCAAGATTCTGTTACTGCATTTCTGTTGACATGTAAAATGAGAATGGTTGTGACCCGGCCAGCATGTTGAAAACAGTCCAAACTAAACCAAGCACAGCCTCATGTGCTGCTGTCAGGGTATAGTGACAGTTACCAGCTGTTACAGGGCTGTACTACATCAACCACTTACATGCACCTTCTGCAGGAATCACATTTCTATAGAACATTAAATAGAATATGCCATAACTCAGTAAAGCCAGTTTCCATACCTGCAGTAGGAGATGAGAGAAAGCGGAGTTATCCTGCTCTCTAAAGGGATGTTTACATGCGAGCATGTGCATAAGAAACATTGTATTTTAAATGATTTAAAGCAAAGCCCGCTTAAAAACAAAGCATTGCTAACGGGGCGAAATGATTCCATTTGTACAGCTGAGCCATCAGGAGGCAGCGTCTCGACCCCCCCCGCAGTACACTGTAAACATCACTGCACTCATTCACAGTAGAAATGGTGAACAATGGTGGTATTACCGGTATTGGAGGGCACTAGGCTGGGTACTTCTGGAACGTTGTTCAGACTGGCGCGGTAGTTGAGGGTGGCGGTGGCTGAGGGGGAGAGAGGACAATGTCAGTTCATCTGGTTGGTGGGGCGGTGCGGCCTGTACTGCCAGCTACCCACTCACCGTGTCCCTCATCCGGCTCGGAGTTGCTGGTGGTGGTGATGTCGCTCAGGCCCGACTCGTCCGACGCCTCGGCCTCCGACGAGCTCTCGCACCCGATCACCTCGCTGGCGTCGAAATACTCGGCCATGGAGTCCGCCACAGAGGGCGCACGGTGGCAGGGACGGCCCATGGACGGTGTCCTCTGAGAGAGAGCGCAGAGAAGAAATAATCGGTTTGTATAAAGGCGGTGGAGCTAGAGCGTTGGCCGGCGTGCGTGTGTCAGACGTATTGCAAAAAACACGCAGCTCTCGCCACCCACACAGAATGTCCACACCCATTGTTGTGCTCCGTCTGAACAGCATGAAGTGACCGACCGGAGCCACGTCAACCTCGTCAACCTACCGGAGCCACGTCAACCTCATTACAGCGTGGTCAGTCATTCAGATTCCCTGCTCAAGTCAAGATGTGCTCTGCTGTGATGGCGTCGGGAGAATTGTCAACATTTTCTCAGTGATTTTTAACAAATTCCATATAAAAGATGAAGATGAATGCAAATGAGTGACAGCGGGATAATGAAGAGTCCTTCACACACAAACAATCTGTGCATCGTTTGTTCTTTGGATTATCCGTTTCAAAACAAAAACACTGCCAATTATAGAATTTTGCAAGTTTTAAAATTGGAGTCAGTTTTCAAACTGAGCAACCAAAGAACAGATTACAGACGCACAGCGCGGTACACACCTGGTCAGGACGGACGGTGCAGAAGGATTCATCAGTAGAGTCAGAGGACAGTGAAACCGAATGGACTTTAGTCAGACGGGACTGTATGTCAAGCTGCGCGCACGCACACGCACACGCACACACACACACACACACAAAGTGGGAAAACAGAGAAGAAAGAAAGAAATGGTCAAAACATGTCATGCTGACTCCAGAGCAGTCCCACGGCATGTGGTGCTTATCAATGTGTTGCTCTATTATTTAACCGTGGACGAGGCCGGAGGCTCAACAGATATTATATATCATATATTTTGATGCACTGACAATATATGATATGAACTGATCTATGTTTTTAGGATATTGTTCACATTCCAATTCAATATGTTGGAGAATTTAAAGTGAATTGCTCTTTTAAAAAGGTTCTGCTTGAGCACTTCCCATAATGCAACTTAATGGTATGTTCCATATGCATCTGTCCCATATGTCTATGTAGGCTTCCTGTTATAAATGTGTTGTGCCCAGGCTGATCCATGAACACATCATCAGGGTCACTCCTCCAGATCAACAGGTTCCACAGTCATCATCATCATACCAGAGTTATGTATTGCTGCCCTCTTTTCAATACACCAGTAATTACCAGGAATGGATTTACTTCTGGTCTGTTGTGTGTTGTAGAGGGAAAACCCAACTGCCAGTCAACCAGCAACAAAATAAAGCCCGGTCACATGCAGCACCGACAAAGGAGAAAGCTCATGAAACACCAAGCAAAAAAAAGGTTCTCTCAGCGCCGGCGGTTTGACAGCAGGAATGAACGAGTTACTCGACAGACAAGACTGTTTGGTTTTAGTGTGTGACAACCATCCTGTTATTTCTGTCTTTGTGTGCGGAAACAGAGAGAAGAGACTCGAGGTGTGTTCCTGTGATAACTTGTACCTTTCCTGCCTAGAAACAGCCCAAACCTGCTGCATAGTTTCACCTCACCAACAGACTGAGGGCTGGGCTGCCGTTGTCTTTTTACAGGCCGGTGCTAATTTTTTAGGTCAATCTGTGTATTAAATCTGAGACTCCGGTGGAAAAGGGTTGGGGGCGGGGCACAGAGCGGGAGGAGGGCTAGACAATACAAATAAAATGTCAGTCTTTGTTGTCATCCGATTTTCATATTCAGGAAGAGTGAGGATCGTTTTGTTTCTACGTAGCCCGCGCTGCTCCTAGTGCGTGTGTGTGCGTGTGTGAGGGCGCGTGCACGAGGGTGTGCGTGTTACCTCAGACAGTGTGTTGCAGAGTGTAGCGAACTGCTGTGACGTGTTGTGCCTCAGGTCCGGGCCGGTCCAGGCCTGCCTCAGTCTCTCTCTCTCCAAGGTCAAAACCTCATGAATGGACTTGAGAGACGCATGAACTGTAAAACACAGCGTGCAGAGACAAAGTCATGAATACACGGTGATCTGCAATGAAGACATGTGGCAGAGCGCAGTGGGCGTTAGGCATCGCTTTCACTTTCAAATGAATTATAATTTAGAAAATGTCAGAAAACCCGGACTAACATGAATTAAAACCTTTAAAAAAAAAAAGCTCATTTTTGGAAGCCAACAATGTTTTGCTTCCATCAATAACGTGACAATCGAAGCTGCAACTTATTAAAGCCACTATAAGGAATTTGATATTTTGGGTTATTGTTGGGTGTTGCGGAGAATCCGACTCGATGAAAAAAATATTGACTATTTCTATTTAATTATTGTTAATGCCTGATGGCTTTGTTTACTTATGTAGGTCATGTAGAGGCATCAGCATCACATTAAGACCGTTTCACAACCAGTTACAAGTTCCTCACAGTAACTTTAAGTTAAGAAAATATTTCAGAAACTTAAACTGACAAACATCATCAAGCCAGTCTGGAAAACAGACAGCAGTCATTTGAAACCAGCTCAATTAAAGCTATAGACAGAAACACAGCTGTGAGGTGGGAGGCCGCACCCCTCTGAGAAGACGTGCAGATGTCCTGGTGGAGCTTCTTGGCCTCTGGCGAGGAGACCTGAGGGTTGGACAGCTGAGAGTAGACGTAGTCGGGGATGGACTGAACGGACGGCCCCAACCCGGAGCTGCTGTTGGTGCTCGGGTGGCTGGTGCTCAGGTGGCTGGAAGTGAACTGGAGTAGAAGAGACACGGTATGATACCTAGCTGAGGATGCAACTATTATACAAGAACATAATGAGGATGCACACAAAGCACACGTCAGTCCTACCATCCCCCCCATGGCTTCAACGCGGGACAAAGTCCTGGAGTGACCGAACCCTTTCCCCGTCTTCTTCTTGGGTTTCTCCAGTGACAGATTCTAGAACAGAGACCAACAGGGTTATGGCTTTTCTCCATAAGAGACAGCCCTTAGGGATCTACAATGTATTACATTATCTCATTAAAATCAACATTCTGACAGTTTATTCATAAATAAAACTCATTTTTCCCCCAGTGAAGAATCCCACAGGCGCACAGTTGTTACCGGAGCGCTCACCTGCATGCTGATTCGCATCTCCAGGTCTGTGTTGGTGATGGGCAGGCCTCCCTCCAGCCAATGGAGCCGCTGGATGAGCAGGGCCAGCTCCGTCATCTCCACCTGACAGCGAGCCAGGTCTGACAAACAGAGGGTCAAAAGGTCAATCCAGTCCATTTAAGAGAGCGGTAAAAATATCACGTCAAAGTTAACACGTCTGGGTTTTTTGTATGTCAATATATGTGACGAAATATGATGAAGACGGCTCTCACCGTTGGAGGTACCGTCGATGTCGTGGGTCTGCTGCAGCCATGCAGACACCTTGCTGGTCACCCCCGGGTGAGAGGAGACGGCGGGGGCGGGGGCGGGGGCGGGGCTTTCCATGTCTGGGTCGTACACCGACGCTAAGCTGGCGTAGTGAGCGGGCTGCGTGATCAAATACAAGGAAGGAAGGAAAGATGACTCAATCAATCACAATGCTGACAACCAGTTAAAAACACCAAACATTCTTGAACTGAAAATCTGAATTTTTTTTAGACAGAATCAAGTGATTGATCAACACTTAAAACACCAGCTATTCAAAAGCCTAGTGGTGACCCCTTGAGAATTTTACACTTTCGTATGAGGAACCTGAGAAATAGCTTCTATAAGAGTTTTGTATGTAGAGGGTTAGTATGAAGACTTTGGTTGTATGAGTAAGCGTACAATGTACTGCTGGTTAAAAAATAAAATCTGAATAGAGCAGATGCCATGACACGATCAGGCGAATCCCGCAGTGCTTTGTGCTGGTTACCAGAACAAACAGTCAGTGGAGGAGTGGCATGTGTGCTGTTGTTTTAACAACTTTACGATTACACTTGTCTTCTCAATGGAACTTTTGCTTTAGTGTTGGGATGTAGTGGTCAAAGAACGGCTATAAACGGTGGATAAGCACATTACATTTCCTATAAATTCTTCATGTTACATTTGCTGCTTACCCTTCCTGTAGTTTTACTACTTTTTTTAAATTGAAGAATAGCTGCTAACACAGCTCTGCTAACTGTGATGAACACATGCTTCTGAATTTAAGAATAAAAGTCCTGTTAGTTTGTTAATTAAAAGCTTTTAAGCTAAATCTAGTAAAGTTAGGTTTTTCATCAGCAGTACCTGAACACCTACATTTTTGGGATTGTGGCCACATCTAACTGAGATCAGAAGTCAACGCGAGCCAGACCAACTCAGCATGTGGTCCCAATGACAGCAAGGTCCTGTCTCTGAACGCACAGACTGGACACTCAATGCCATGTCATGATCGGACGACAAAAGTCACACTGAAGTGAAGAAGAGTGTAACCGGGGCCTGTTAGAAGATGCGTGACGTTAACCTCAGCGGGAGTCTCTACTGACCATCTCTCTGTTGGTCTGGGCGAGAGTGGCCGCGGTCGGCAGGTTGCTCGGGCTCAAGGAGAGAGCGTGAAGGACACCATGATGGACACTCATCGCCTCGTTTTTTGTGAATACACGATGGGCACACAGCTTGGTCAACCAGATGTAGAAGATGTCATGGCTCTTTGCCTAACGAGGGAAAGGAGAGAAAGAGTGTTTGGTTCACTGCAGGCTAAAGCATATCAGCATATCCACGTCTGTCTGTAAACGTCATTTTAACCCCTTAAGATTTGACTTATGAGAGTTTAGTTTTTCAGACGCCAATGACGTCTGTGTCGATAATGATTGCTGGACTCGCTGAACTCTGCTGCGTAGGTTACCTTGAGGTGGTAGATGTTGTCCCCAGCGTCCAGGTCTAAGCCTTTGGTCTTCTTGTTGATGGACATGACCGCCAGGCTGACGTCCAGAGAGCCGTGGAGCTTCCCTCTCTGAATCTAAGACACAATTTGAAATGATGCACTTCAAACGGAGCCATTAGCAGCACTCGGGAGTCAACAGAATGAACCCGACATGAGTTCATGGCGGTTGCTCTATCACTGCTCTGAGTGACTGACAGTGAATTGTGCAACAGCCCCATTTTTCTTTTTACAACTTACATCTTGCTGTGTCTTTGAGTACTTGAGAATTCCTTTCTCCAGCAGGAAGTATCTCTGAAAGAGCAATGACAGTGAAGAATTTCAAAGAAACAGGAATTGCGTTATGCCGACGGGTAAAGACGGTCTAACCGTCACGACGATGGTTTAAACCTGGGTAAACTGAGCGGGACAAAGATCCGCGGCACCATCACTGCTCACCTTGTGCCAGCCTTTGAGCGGGTACTTCCTCTTCTTCATCAAGTAGCCCTCACAGATCCCAGGGATGCTGAGGTCCACAGAGGAGCCGGGAACAGAGTACATATCCCGCTGCTGCAGGTCGTCCATCACCTCCCAGTCACGAGACTGAGAAGAGGAAACGCGCAAATCATTACGAAATAAACCAAATGACTGATGGAAAAAGAAAAATCAAATATATCATCGGCATTTCGATCATTCGGTGCATCTCTAGGCTCTACTGGTCAAATCCATACCGGTGTACTTCCTACACCTCCCACCTGTGGGTCTCCTTACCTGCTTTGATTGTTTGGAGGAGCCGGTGCTGCTGGTCCGCGAGTGGCCGGGCTTGAACACGCTGGCCGGGGATTTGTCCACGCCGCTGATCACCGACAGGCTGCTACTCAGAGGCAGCGGACACACCTGAGGGTCCATTGGCAAGATGTGGTGAGGAAAGCGTTGCATGGAGCGAAAGGTGGGCGTTCACGACAAGCCGTGTCTCATGGCAGAGTCAGCGGCACTGAGGAGATCAATGAAAATGTGTTAACGGCACGGGGGACAAAACTATCGGGAAGACGCCGAGGAATAAAATAAGTGGACAGTATTCAAAGCAAAATGATCAGCTACAGTCTGATGATCTTCTTACTCAACTCTGAGATCAGATGCACTCATTATATGGGAAGGATCGATATTTATAAAGCTTGGTCGTCTTGTAAAATTCATACGAACATTAAACAGACAGGCCAGTTGTGTTAAACAACAACAGGATGGACACTTCACACATTTATACAACCACTCTAAGAACTACCGTCAGTGATATCAGTGGCGATGAAGGAAATCTTAAAAGTCACTAGATCATTAGTTCAAACAGACAATGAAACGCATAATTGATTGAATATTCAGCAGCTCTTTCAGATCTCTCACACACACACACACACACACACACACACACACACACACACACACACACACACACACACACACACACACACACACACACACACACACACACACACACACGATAGCTGGCAGCCATTATCACACGATGTGTGTTCAGAGAACATCTGATTCCCCACTAACACAGGATAGATCATTAGACCCGAGGCCCTGAATTACATTTGGACAAGGCGACTATAAATGCAATGATACGAGTTTGTCCATTCATACTGCAGTCAGTTAGGGCTTTGCTGTCAATGTTGTGTACATTTTTACATCACAATATATCGACATATACCATGATGTGCAATTTCATATAAAATGCAGCTTTTACCCATAGCGCTCACTCCTTCACTGAACATAAACCTGCACAACTACAGCTCGTGGCAATACTGACGACAAGGTTTAAGAAGAAACCACACACCTGTGTTGGCCTGAAGTCTAACAGGCTGCTTCCCAAACAGTCCACAGGAAATTCATTAAACTTTCCACTCGAGATGAATTGTAGAGCCGCAAGAATTCCCCTAAAAAGTTCATGAAAAACCAAAAGAAAGCAATGTTCCTAGGAACGATCATTCAGCATCGAAATCCTCTGAACTACTGTGTTGCGCTGAGACCAGTGTCACACCTGACCCGCTCGTCGGACTGGTGCATATCTAAGGCGGCGGGTATCTGGGCGGGGCTGAGAGACACTCAACGTGACCGAACAGGCCTGCCGGCTCTGTCATCACAAGATCTGCAACAGATTTGCAGTCTTCAGATATAGCCGACAATAGAAACATAAGAGCTCTAAATTGCATTCAATTATCAGATTCTGGCCGACACTAAAGACAAACTACAGCAACTACTGGGAGGTGATTTAAAAAAAAAAAAAAAAAGTGTGAAATGTTTAAGATCTGGCCACTTAGGATGAAACAAAAGCTCAAACTAAAGCTATCTGTATGTAGTCTAACGGTTAAGCTTAATTTTCCAGATATTCTAAAATGATTTTGAACTTGTCTGCTGGCTGAGACACAGCAGCCGCTCTACCAGCAGCGCATGCAGGCAGTGCATCAGCAGAGAAAGGCTTGAATTCTGCATTCTTGACAAACTTCACTCGGCAATGTTACTCATTTTATTGACATTTTCATATGAATGACTTTAACATTTAGCCTCGTTATATTCCATTCTAATCCGGTTCTCACTTTAAAGAAACCAGGCCGACATGGGAAACGTCACACTTCAATGTTTGTTTATCTCCAGTCCTATGTCAGGACGACTTTTCTTAGGGACGTTGCATCAAAAGAAAAAGGGCTTAGGAAGAAGTCTGCTGGTGCAGCATTAAGTCATAGTTGGCTTGCTTGATAAAGTTTCATAGTGTCCCCATAACAGTACATGAAGCAGCACCCTCTAGCAGTGACCTCCTAGTAGCCAAACATGCAGTGAACGGTTTGGTTCCCTCCTGTTGGAACCAAAGAAGAAAGAAGGAGCAGAAAGAGCGAAGGCCACATTCCCTGAATGCTTTGCACTACGCATCATTGTGTGATTACAGACTCACGGTATCACATGTTCCTAACAGTGATAAGTGCTCTGGTATTGTCGCAGTACGCCCATATGAGGGACACTGTTGACGGAATTGACATGCCCTTTTTTCGATTGATGAACCATTTGTTCAATTATAATGTTAGCTGCCATGACTACATCATCACATAGAAGAAAAGCAAAACAGTATGGTTCATTATCAATAAACACATTTACTTCTTCTAATGGTATTCAACCACACACATGGTACAGAACTATCCGAATGAGTAGACACAACTAGAAGTCGGATCTAACCCTTTAACCCTCTGAACCACTAAACCTGCCAGCGGGATTGAAAAGCATACTTTCTTTCAACAATCGCCAAAACTAGTTCATCCTAACCAGAGCTTGTAGAAAGTGTCATTATCATCAGCTTTTCCTCTTTGCGACGGTCTTTGAACAGGTCAAGTGCAACAAACGCTTCTGTCAGCAAAGCAACAAAACAAAGTTTCAATTACGATATTTCATCAAAAACATTGTATTGTGAATAAACCTTTTGCTTTAACCAGATACTGTGAAAAACATTAAATTCTGCGCTCTTTAGTGCAACTAGGAAGCCATGATTGAGCCTGACACCAACAGTCACATGACAACTTCGACTGAACTGCAGTGTGCTGAGCACAGAACACTGAAAAGCTGTTTAGGGCATTTAGAACTCAGAAGGGCCGTAATCACCAAGGACTCAACTCTCCCAGCAGTGTTGTAGTTAAGACCACCTAAAACCAGGGGTCGGCAACCTGCGGCTCGCGAGCCTCTCTGTTGTGGCTCCCTGAGTGTACATCAGGGGTCCCCAACTGGCGCACCGGATCCGGACCCAGGAACTAAAAACCGATAGATAATTTGGAATTGAATTATACATATTGGGCAATGGGTTTAAATTTTAACCGGCGCATCTTATTCAGCCGTTACGGCACTTGTTCGGCGGTGCAGGAAACACACCGACCAATGCATTTCAAATCACATCAGGTGATGCAGCTCAGCCAGTTTCCTGACTCGAGCGAGGTTTACACACACGTGACACACGGGGCTGAGACGAGGAAATAGAAAGAAGAGCAGGAATATCGCGCTAATCGAAGAAGTTATCTCACATGACTCTCTCCAAAAAGAGAAACATGTTCAGAGAGAATGTAATTTATAAGCAAGAATGAACAGAATCGTATATGTTAATTATTCCCACAGGCAGTTAAATCCTCTACTCTTGTCAAGCGCTTTTCCCTGCAGGTGGCTAATCATGATTTTCAGACCCCCACCCTCTGTTATCTATCAATGGATAAATCCAAAAAAAGAAAAGTCACGGAGGAAAATAGGAGAGTTTAACTCTGCGTGGACGTCTTCATTTGCTTTCACTGCCAACGATGCTGGCTTACCTCTATGCTTCCAGAACATACACACAGCATGTGCTGAAAAGTGTCATGCTGGAGATGAGCGTCAAAGAGCGAATTCTCAACTGCTGCAGCAAACTCTCCTCTTCATAAGAGTTTGATATTGTTATATCAGGTAAAATTGCAAAAAAAAAAAAAAAAAGTCAAGAATTGTCTTTATTCTTGTTCTATATTTTCATAAACACAACAAACTATAGTTTTTGTATATATAATATAACTATATATACACAACTTTATAAGCTGTGATACAGACAAATTTTATTTGGTGGAAAATAGAGCAAAATGGCTCTTTGGATAGTAAAGGTTGCCGACCCCTGACCTAAATGGAGACCAAGTCAAGACCAAGACCACTGAGTCCCACACTGCACTGCGACATTTTGTTGTGCAGCCTCTCTGAGCTAAAAAACGTCACCGTAGAAAATGGACGAGACAAAAGACCGAAAAGTCCATTTGTGGGAGCAGATCGGCCAATCAAGCGGACACTGAATGTTGCTAGTGATTGTTGTGCTTTTACCACCGCACGCCTCCTCTCCACAAGGAATCAGCCTCCTTGCTGTTATGTTATGGCTGTCAGATTCAAAGAATGAGGTCAAACATTGATTTTAGTTGTTTAGTTTAGACAGTTGAATGTCGACAGCTTTAGAATTGTAAACACCGGCAGTATAGGTTGTCAGAGGTAATCGACAGTAGACATATGGTATACATCACAAAACCATAATCTCTAAAGACCATTCTTGACTCAGGTATTGTTAATATAATAATGTAATATCTGTCATGGTGGCAGGTGACCCAAACGTTGACCTGTAACCTTTCCCCGTTTTTGGAAGGTGCTCATTTCATTCCAGCCGTCCTCCATCTGAAGTCATATCCCAGGTATGACACCAACATGTTGAGTCATAACTAGGACTGGGGGAGAAGTTTAGAACAACCATGAGAGGTATGTGGTCTGACCAGTAAACCAGAGAGAAAGCAGGAGCTGAGATACAGCCCTGAGAGCAGTATTTAACACCCTGCCGAGAGCAGGAAACGAGGCCATGCGTCAGTTGTAGAATTTGGTGTTTGAATTCTGTGAACGCATTCAACAACATGTTTCACGTAAGTCACTGCAGGTACCACGGTGCTGTCACAAACAACATCCTCAGCTTCAAAACCATCGCTTTAAAACATTGCTGGATCGTGGCTACATATTGCATCACTGGAACATTCCTGTTATTTATGGTCCATTGTGTTTTACCCAAGCAGCAGCTAACAAGGCCATTACCTGCAGTCTAGGTAGGCCTGTCACAGCTTCACAGTGAACCGTAGACATGTTTACACGGGTGGGCACCGTGGGGTCAGACGGCCCAGGGTGAAAGTGGCCCGAGGCTCCGGCTGTGAGAGCACCATCACTGTTTTCTGGGGTGTGGTCAGCGCTCACAGAGCCCTCTGTGCCTGTGTGGAGGGACGGGGCTCCCGGGTCTGTCGGCACTGACCCGTCTTGAAACACAGAGCCTGTGTGTCGTGGGTGTGACTTTTTTGCTTTGTCATCACCATGATTCATACAACCAATTTGTTTATGGTGTTTACAAGAGAACAACATTTTTAATCTGTCCTCTTAATGTTGCTCAAATTGCATGACGCATGACCAACATTTAGGACAATTATTCCTGTCATTTTTCAAATCGCAATGTACATCACAGAAGAAGGAAAATAGCAACGTCCATTTTTTTCAAGATTGTGCAGCCCTAGAATGATGACCTAATATATTCAGGGCTGTATTGCAACATTGTGCGGAACGGACATATTCAACATGTGCACTACAGTGTTCTTTCACATGCATGTCAGTGAGATGTCAACTCAAGACCTGAACAAACTGGTTCTCTCGCTGTCCTCCATCTCTCCAGGAATGTGCCAGAGCAACGTACGCTGGCTGTTTGGCCACATGTGACTGACGGGAGCACTTTTTAGGTGAACAACAGTGTTTACAAACAAACGCTACAGTTGTGGGTGCAGTTTAGTCCCAATATGATGAATAAGAGGTAAAGTCAGGTTCTTAAGGCAGTCTAAAGGCCTTTACACATCGGATGCGTGGCGGATTAACGACAGGATAACGCGTAATACTAGCTTGCAAATATTAAAGGGATCAATTGACCCAGTCTGTCTAAAGGTAAACTAATGTATAGTTTAAGCTACTGTGAGCCATTTCATTAAGCTAAGCTTCCCCTTTGCGAAATGCTCCAAGCGACTTTGAGTTCACTCTGGTTAACAGTTACGCAGCGTACATGTCCAGGGCTCTTACTGTGAACGGTAATAAAACGAGATGAACTGGTATTAACTGCCGTTGTAAAGACTAAAAGAAATATGTCCACTCCACACATGTGATTGGTTGATGCCTTCATACGAGGTACGAAAGCTCAAGAAGAATTGACCTCATTTTGGGAAAAAAACTAAAAGTTTAGTTTTTTTCGCAGTTTAATATTTGTGTTCTGTGCTTAAGTACTCATGATTAAAGGACTTTGACAAATCGCAGCCTATTGACATGCAAACAATTTGCATAAATGAAACCCCCCAATGTGTTGGCCTTATGAATGGGATGTACTTCTACAGCACTTGTCTAGTCTTCCGACCACTCAAAGCACTTTAACACTACATGTCATCATTCACACACCAACTCTTTGGCCCCTCTTCATCTTCCTCTACTCCCTCTGGTATTACAGCAAAGACAATCAACAGAAACAAACTGCCGATATGAATTCCCACAGGAGCGTAATGATGTACTGCATGTCAGCTCAATATAGAAAGAGCACTCTTCTATGTCATTCACCATTTATTTATACGGTTTTTGTGACAGTATCGTAACTCTTTTTCTACCACCACCTACACCACAGTATGGCTTTAATTAAATGCCATTAAATGAAAACTAAAAGGTGTGATTCATAGTTTCACTTTACATCAACTCATTAGAGCTGGGATTCAACCTCTATCTTGATGCGTGTCTTTAGTGGAAGGCTCTATGAGCAGCCTGTCTGTTCCTCTCATGTATTAACATCACATTCATCACAGAGCCAAGCATTCAATCTTCCTTCATTTATTTTCCCCTTTGAAAAACGTAGAAGACTCTAACCATCTGGACAAAAGGATTTTTCACCCGTTTCCCAAGTTGCACCTGTTTTTCCTTATCGAAACAAAGATGGCAGCCATAAATGCCACAGCCCATCTCCTCACCCAGTATGTTCCACGTGAACACAACTGTACTGGTGTACATTGAGGTTTCCAGCCAAGATTATACTATTTCATACACAACAACATGTATAGTAAATACTTTGTGTTTTGGAAAAAGAAAACAAGCGTATAATTACAGGCCACCTGGATCAGAATTTTGTATTATTTATTTCCATGTTTTGAAGAGACTTTCAGGCTCCTCAGACCCCTCCACATCAGTGATACAGGTTTCAAACCACCAGCTGGGTTTTTACAAAAGGTCACTGGGTATGTATTGTCAGTCAAATGAGTCAATAACGTTAAGCTCTTTGATTCTAATGTAATGTTAGTTAAGCAGCAGCCAACAAACAAATCGGGGTAATAATAAAAAACACACATCAAGACAAAAACAGCATGTTTTAGTGTGAATTCAGCAGCAAACAGCAGCAGTGTAGAAATGCACCAAACACGACTACACACCCACCTGCGTGCGTGTGTGCGTGTGCGTGAGAGACAGGTAGGAGGCTTAACAGGTTTGTGAACAACACCCTAAACACCGCCATAGGAACAGCGTGAGAAACAATGTGCTTCTGGTCGTTAAGGACATTTTACATTATTCTCCGACATAGTTCATGTTAACGTTACTACTTCACATTGTTGGCTAGTTTCACGCGTAAAAAAACTAAAACGTTACACGCCGAAAAGGCCGCCAAAAGTCATTCCTGCGACACCCAGTCACAGTTAATTAGACGTAAAGACGAAAGCGGAAAGGTGAAAAAACATTCGCCATTTTAATTCACCTTACGTACGAAACGAACCCTAAGGACGCGCGTGAACACAAAGCCCCCTTTCACCAAACGAACCGTCAAATGATTTCTTAAAAACTTCTTCCGAATGAAAACTAAAACTGTATCAAACATTTTCACTTCGGCGTCCATTGTGAAGCGATACAACAGTCAGTGTTTCTTCCGGACTCACCTGGTTTAGAAGAGGCTCGACTAGACCCCACCGGCTGAGATGACGAGGCTTCTTCTAACTTCTGGAGCTTCTTGTTATCTCTGAGCGCGCGTGGCACACACCCAACATCCAGGAGCGCACCGGCGGGACAGGATGCATCA